CAGTTTCAGCTTCTCCAGAGGGTGGTGGGTCCCCTTGGCACGACCTGCTGAGCTGTGACAAAGCCACCATTCAGAGCTGCTTAGCTGATGAGCACAGCTCAAATCCACCACATTCAAATGCATCCTTGGGAGTGTTTTCAGGATTAGCATCCCTCCAGTGAATGGTGAAAGGGGAATGAGCTGGGGCAACAGGGGAATAAGATGATTGCTGTGGTCTCTGAGAGGCTGCTGAGTCCTGCGTGGGGAATGCCTGAGGGGTTACACGGGATTCTTCTTCACGTGTTAAAAAATTCACTTATCAACCTCTGGAAAAAAGAATTGGATGGGGTTTCTCAGCTTTTCTGGGACCAAGTGTTGTTAGAATGTGGGACAAGGAAATAAAACAGCTTAACATTCTCTGCACCTGAGCTGGAAGGGGAGAAAAGGGAACAGGATTCCTCTTTTCACTGCTGAGCCCCAAATGGGCTGTCCCAGTTCAGTGTCCAAACCAGCACAGCCCTCCTGAAAGGAGGAAATGGGGAATCTGTGACTCAGAGGGAACATGTCTACTACCTGAGAGAAACCCCTAGGCAAAGCCACCTTCAACATGCTGCCTTGCTCATGTCTGTGCTGAAATTCACAGTCCAGACTAAACAGTTACTTAACTTTCGGTTAAAGTATCCCAGGTGAAAAGACACAATTTAAAAAATTATTTTAATGCTGTTTTCTCAAAAAAAAAAAAAAATCATTACCTCCTTCAGCTTCTCAACAAGTATAAACCTCACAGCTTTCCTGCCTCCTCTGGAATTACTAAGTCATTGCAGACATCAAAAATTAATGAATAGATGAAAGATTCAGCAGAGAGGCAAAATCTTACCGGAAAAATATTTCTTAATATCAAAAACAATTCAAGAATAATGAATACATTTAGAGAAGTAATAAGCAAAGGCAAATTTCCTGATGCTTAAAAGAATACACATTAAGGAGGACACAAGACTTAGGGGTTATTTTTTTTTCTTTAAAACACCAATTCATTTTTTAAAACAATAATGCTTCCATGGGCTTCTGGTTTTACAGAAGTGTGATTTCCATGGGCTAAACTTTTGCAATGCTTTAAACTCATCTAATTAGCCAAACCCAGGTGATGAAGACAAGAGGCTTCATCCTACCAGATGGAAGGGCTACACAGTTTCCCCTGTGCCCATCCATGAGAATCCTGCTACTTATCACTGAGGAAATGGTTATGGTTAACTTGGAGCTGAATTTGAGCACAGACAAGAGAGGGAGAAAGGTGTTTAGGGGTGAAAATAAAATAAATATATCTTTAAAATAAATAGTACATGCAATTCAACTGAAATTTCTTGTAGGAAACAAAGTTGTCTATTTTCTTTGTGCTATAGACTGTCATTCGCCCTGGCAGTGGCTTTTCAGCTAGTGCAACCAGAGGAGTAACCATAGTTCTATATTCCACACTAAACCTGAAAAAGCAACATCATTATGTGATTTCTATAGGAAAAAATGTTTCTGCTTTAAATAGACTTTAGGGAGATACTCTTAAGTACTACCTGTGCTGCAAAATGACCTCTTGGCGATTCAAACAGGTCTAACAGAGAATAAGGGTAACTAATCTGTGGGATTCTCAAGAACTCCCATACCACTGCTAATAGAAGAAAAATCAATATTCCTTACAATATGAATGGAGCGTTGGAATGACTGAGCAGGGAGCTTTGAAATAAATATCTAAGAAATGTTTGGATGAAATGGACATCTTCACAGACATTTGGTCTGCATTTCTGAAATGTAGATTATTAAATCCACATTGTTGGCTTCTTCCCTCTCTGCACTATGTCTTTCTTTACATCTTACAAAAAAATTTATGAACAAAGTTATTGTAAATCTGCAATGTCTGTCTTGTCACTTAGATTCTTTTTAGAAATGCTGCCTTGCCAATGTAGATATACAATCCTTTAAGATTAATATTTATTACTTATAATTCTAAATACAATGGAAGGTCACCAAAAATACTCCACCTAAAAGAATCTGGAGCCCTTTACAATCTCGTTGGTGATGGATCCTGAGCCTTGAGAACTGAGCTCAAAAACTTAGCAAAACACTCTTCTATGTAGGATTTCCAGTATTTCCTGCTTCTGGCAATGGATATAGCCAAGAAGCACAAAGGTGAGTAAAAGTTACAGATCTGAAAACATAAGCTTGGATTTCAAACCCAAAAAAAGGTCAGGGAATGCCTGAACCTGTCCATGATCTTGAATCAGCCTATAATAGAGTTATGAGGAAAATGCAAAGTTAGAATGCAGAGTGAGACTTGAATTCAGACAGAACTGGCACTCTAGCTGAAAACTGCTGCATTTTCCTCTAGTTTCTCATACCCATAATTATATTTTATCTAGATATTGTAGAATACTGTATGAAAAAAGAAAAAAATTAAAGAAATTTTTTTTGCAATTTATTGAAAGGAAATTAGCCTGGGGACTTTTAAATTTTATTATGAAATCTTAAAATTTTTTTAAGAATATGCAAATCATCTCAGAAAAATCTCGTTGCATTTATAGATAATTTTCTTTTTTATATGAGCCCAACTATTTTAAAACATTTTTTTCTTTTAAACCAGATGCAATTTGAGGTCACTGAAATCAACTGATTGTGATTTGGCCATCTTCTATAAAAATAGAGACAAACATAAGAGAATTTCAGAACTTTGAGATTTAGCAAAATGGAGACGAATCTGAGATTAAAATCAGGGCAGATCTGCCTGAGATTTGCTGCATGTTTGGACAGACTTAGGACATAAATATAATAAGCAGAGAGAAAGAACCTGCCTCTGCATCTTTCATTCAAATATTCACAGCAACTGTGACTAAGGAAAGCTACTGACTGAAGTGCAAACCTGGGAAAAGGCAAATGAGAAAAATGTAGTTTTGGTTGATTGACAGGATCATACCGAGAGTAAAAAATCCCGAGGACCATTGATCAGATAGAAGACTTTTCTCTAGGAACAAACTTGAAGAGCTTTGCTAATAACACTTTTCTAAACTGACTGAGCCATCCTGACTTAAGTGTTGAGTGAAAACAAAAACCAGAAAGACAGAAAGAAATAATCGAGTCAATTAAATAAATAAATAAATAAATGCCAGAATTAAAAAAAAAAGAAAATAATATCACAACTCAAATCTCATGAAGAAATGTTTTTAGCAAGCCACATGTGCTTGTGAAAAAAAAAAAAAAAAGAAAATAATATCACAACTCAAATCTCATGAAGAAATGTTTTTAGCAAGCCACATGTGCTTGTGCAGATAATTCTAATCTCATCAGATTTTTTTGGCTGCTATTAGTGTTCTCTGAGCCAGCTGATTTCTTAGCAATATTTTAAGGAGTGCAAGCCTTTGCCCTCCAGTCTAGCCACTGGAGGCAAATAGCCCATTCTAGGAGACGACTTGGCAGTTCATGGATTTTCTTCCAAGGTTTTGAAAGTTCAGAACAAATTGACCATTGCATGTGAAACAATAGTCAACCACAAACTCTCTTCAGTCAATGAGCAACAATCTGCTCTCAGCTGGGTTAGTGTGAAAAGTCGAATTATCCCACTAAAGCAAAAGGATGGTTTCAGATTGTCATCAGCATCACACGACAGAGCCTGGCTTTCAATGTTGTTCCACTTTCCCAGCTCTCTGGCTGCAAACAAGGCTGCTGTGAGGTTCCACTCAGTCACAGCTCACCAGCTTGAGGTTCCCTTCAAATCAGTGCAGCTTTAGCAACTTTGATCAGAAGGGAGCTACATCAGGTTACAGCTCAGCTTTATTTTATCTTTTAAAACAGCAATAAATCCCCCCACAAACTGAAACCCATGAACCATGTGCTCTCCTCACGTACTGGAACGCATGAGCTTCAAGTGAAAGAGCTGTCATTCTGAATTTGCTGAAAAAACGTGCAAATAATCACCAGTATAAAGCAGATGTGCCAGGCAGGCACTGAAGACAGGGCAAAATAATCTCTTTTAGGAAAAAAAACACCTGATTCAAAATTGTGGAACCTGGATGGGTAAGGTCTGGATGAGTGGGACTGAGACACCATGCATGGATTTCTGCTAGCACACTTGCTGAGTTCCTGGCTGGAAATGTGCCCCTCACTGTGCCAGCCTGCCCTGATTGAGGCTCCCACAGCAAACTCCTCCTGGGGTGAGATGATGAGTGCTTGCAAGTGACCCATCTGGAGCTTCCCCTGCCCGGAATCCGTGTGCAGCGACAGCTTCCCTCTGCTGATCCAAGTTTCCCAAGATAGCAATTATAAAGGAACTGGCAACCATACAGTCGAGATGACAATATCCTGCGTGGTCTGGTTTGCTGTGCCAATTCCCTCTGTGGGTGCTGGAGTCAATCTGCTGCCCCGTTATTGATGTGCCTGTCTGTCTCTACCAACCAGCAGATCCACTGGGCATTTTGGCACAGGCCCTGCCCTTCCAAGGGCTGCCTGCTCAATTGCTCTTTCACTCTCTTCTGCTTTAAACATTTAGATCCAACAACCATCATGCAAATTTTATGCAGAGTAGCATCTGCAAGTCTGACATATTCACTCAGGCTTCCCCCTCTTGCGCCAAGTTAAAAATAAATACCCTATAAACTCCTGGGCCTGCTAAGACAGAAGATGCATTCAGAGAGTTTATTTAAATATAACTGCTAAGAGCATTTCTGCTTTAGGGTCAAACTCCTATTTTCCTCTCTCTCTCTCTCTCTCTCTTGAATTTTGTTCATGCCTCAGGGATCTTAATAGAACTGAAGGAAAATGTCCTTGAAATAACCTAGAGAGGAACCAGTTCTATGTGTTCCTAACTCTCTTACCTGAAATTTCAGCTATTTTTGAAATGCTAAAGAATGAAGATCATGATGTACCCCCAACATAGAACAAGAAACTAGTCAAGCAGACTCATTTCCAATACTGATTGCAAATAATACTAGTTGAGCCAGATCTTGGGTTAGACTTCAAAGGGTGTCCACCCCCATCCCCCATCCCCCTCTGACCACCCCCCCCACTACAGCTGCCTTCTCTTTTCTCCAGGGAGAGGCAGATTTGTCCCTGCCCAATACACTTGGAACATGGGAAGTCATAAAGATGCCAACCAGACAGCATAACGATAAAGTACATCTTAAGGCAACAAGGAGCAGAGTCTGTAAAAGGGGATACTGAGCCATGGCTGGGGGCACTTAGGACTTGCTGAGCCTCTTGGCCACATCTGCATAGGCTTGCTCGATTTCTTTGTCTGCTGCACAGGTGTTGGTGAACTCATCCCTGGTGTACGCGTTCTTCAGGTACCGCCACAGCCCCGTCATCTCCGCCGGGAACTCGAAGTTGCGGTATTTCTTTGCAACAATCTAAAGCAAAGATAAAACACCTGAAAATAAACCATCTCACAGGGGATACATCTCCTTCTTAGGGGGCTTCTTGCTCTCTTATGTCATACAATTAATAGCAAATTAGAGGAATGTTTGGAGAATAAGCGATTTATCATAGAAAAGCCTGAGAAGTGACTGTTGGTTGTCCCCTATCATGCAAGGCTGCTGCTTGGCCTAAGGATAGTCTAAAGCTACAAACTGGCTACTGTTACAAAATTTCAACTTTTATGAAGTTGAAGTTCATGGATTTTACCATATTGGGGTTTTTTTTTACAACTCTTAAGTACATCACCTAAAGTTAGACACACAGAAGAAGGGGCTGAATTATAAAGAGCAAGATAGATTTAAGAGAAAGGCATTAGTAATGATTATAACATTTTCATATTAATTATTATGTTTAACATTCTTTTATATATATATGGTATTATATTTTTACTATATGTAATATATTTTGCCTGGTAAATGGTGTCAGAGGATATAACCACCTACAGCTGTTTGAAGGCTGGATCCATGTTCATGAAAAGGAGAAATTCAGGGTGGTATGGGTACCATGATTAGGAAACCAAGATGATTTAGCATATATTAGAAACAGGAGCATTGGGATAAACTGAGAGAGAAAATGGTTATTTCAAGACTTGTTAGACTAGGAAATTGTCTATCAAGGCAAATTTTCGATTTCTAAAAACACTCAGGCCCTTATTCAGGAAAATAGTTAAGTGCATACTTAATTTTAAGCACCTGTACAGTCCCATTGAAGTCAATGGGATTAATCTGCACTTAAAGCTAGTTGGTTGGTTAAGTACCTTGCTGGATTGGGATATTTCAGTTTCCCTGTAGGAATACACCATATAGAATAAGCTTGTGGTGACAGAGTGAGCTATCTGATAGGAAAGGATGGATTAGCTAATTTAAGGAGTGCTTCCAATCTCTAATTTTTCTGACAGTATAAAATTGTTCCTGGGCATAAATTACATACATATGTGCCACAGAGTTCCCCTTTATTTTTAAAGCACATGGTAGAGCTGTTTTCCATCTCAGATTTCTTAGGACAGTCATGTTCTCAGAAATGACTGTGACTTGTTTCTATTACCAGGATCCACTTGGTATATGAAAGCCCAAATCCTGCCCTAAACTGCATTTAACTAAGCATTCTTGCCTTCCATGATGCTTCACACACATATGGGGAAGATAAAACCTGCTGGGCAGCTTAAGTCAATATTTTCAAAATTTCCAGCACACATCTTCCATCAAATGAAAAAATAATTCACCCTTTTCTTCTATCTGTTAAATGCTTCTCAGGCAATATCCTATGGCTATGCTTGTCTGAGAAAAATTTTAATTCTCTTTTTACATCTTTCATTTCATCCCTAGGAGACAAGAACCAGTGAGGGGCCACACATTCATTTTGCATTGTCTGACTCCAACATCACCAATGAAGACAAGTCAGAATAAGCACTAAACCTGTGAGGATATTATCACATTTCTTACCTGGTGACTTATGTGCTTTTTAATTTTTTTTTCTTTTTGCATGTGTGCAGTCAGCTCCCAGGCTCAGTTTATGTTTTGGCTCACAGAGCCAAATTAGATGCATGACTTGGCTTTAATTCCTAGCTCACTCGCTTGCCAAGGTCTGCCAGGTATTTGCGTTATTCTAAAGCAACATGTCATCTGATAAATTAAATAAATGCAACATTTAGAAGTCAAGATGATGTACATGATTTGCACTATACCAGCAACCATTGTACATCTTAAGTCCTGGACCTTGGCAATGACTTTAATTTGTTAACTTCTCTGTGTGAAATGCCACATGGAATAAATATTCCCCAAAGAAATTGACTGCTGCTCTTAAGTTACAAATGGGTGGGAACTGACTAAAGTTTTGACATGTTTCTTAAGGGCATTAGGAACTAATTAATAGAAAAGACTGCTGCTACTTACAGAAGGGTAAAAATAGAGACAAGACATCTAGAACCTAGTACTGTCTTCACCACTAATAAGTGATGGGACAGTTTTCCCATGAACTAAATATAAAGTTCCTTTATTTAACCTCTAGGAAGCCCTGAAGAGCAAAACTGTGTTTCAAAGTGCTCTTCTAGGCCTGAAGAATTCTCTGCTGAAATACACGTTGGTTTTGGCACTCAGCTGTCAGAGCAAGGCACACCATGTCAGATATGGATTCTTTGACCATCTCACAACATCTTTTACCTTCACAACGTGGAGTTTGGGCAGAAGGTTGCAGTCAGCAAGTGTCAGGTCATCTCCATCCAGAAACTTGCGTTTAGACACTTTTTCCTCTTCAGTGCTGTCTGCATCAATCTCCTCTGGCAGGGGAGTTCTCAGGTAGTCATCCAGCTTCTTCAGAGCCTTCACCAAGCCCCTTTCAAGTGCTTTGCCAAAAAAAAGCAAAGAATAAGTGGCTAGGGCAAGATAAGAATTGTTTATAAATGCTCATTGTCAATGGCTATGCTAGTGTCTAGAAAAAAACCAAGAACCAATTTCTTCATTGTTAATTTGTGCTCCAAAGCTGACACAATCCAATGGCAAAGTAGCCCAGCAAAGTACATCTGCCTGAGGATAAATCTCATCCTGCAGTGGGAAAAGGGACACAGGGACCTTGCTGTACCACGTCTTCTCCTGACAAACAACAAAAAGCAGTGAAAGAGATCACAGAAGAAAAAAACAGCTTGTCAAGATGATACACCAAAAAAACACACATTGCCTATGATATTCTTCTGATCTGTTGAAAGCCATCACATAGGTACTGGAACCATGTACACTGCTCCTTCATTCTTCTAACCAGCTGCATAAGACTGCAATGAAGTAGAATTTTCTAGCATTACTTCGGTTCTATCAAGTCTTAATTTTACTTCTTTCAACACCCTTGCAGAGTAATTAAAGGCAATAGCAGTAATTCCAAAGATGCTAACCAGAGCTCGATAGAGCTGAAAGATATGCTACAAATGAAATGAAATATTAGCCAGTGTTAAAATTCCCATTTAACTCAGGTTCAGCTTGGGTGCAAATGCTCTTTCTGAGAGATCTCAAATAGTCTTGTGATGGAGAGGAGACTCCAGACTTCTTAGTTCAGCTACTGAAGATCATGTCCCACACTGCTGCTGGCTTCAACTAATTCCAGTCTTCAAATGCCACCTAGACCTCTACAGCAGAGTGCAAATTTTTCACCCAGGCAAGGAATTTGTGGTTTTATGCTTCATTGTCAGGACAATACAAAAGCTTGCTTGCAATAATGCACTTACAAAAAAGCTGGATAACTCTGTGCAGGTTTGTGCATTACTTGCAAACACTTGGGGCAAAGAAGGATCTTTCGTGTTTCTGTCAAAACCATGATGGAGTCCTGGTCCCCCACAAGTGCCCCAAAGTGCTAAAGCAACATAAATAAAAAACAGCAAGAATTTACAATGTGAAAAAATAACAACATGACTCATGGGCTTAAGGCCAGAATTTCAGCTGGTGAAAATTACCTGCAGTGATTTATACCTGCTGCAGATGTGGCCTGGAGTCAGTATTAATGGCCTAATACTGTAAAATCTTACATCTCTGAGTAACTTACTGCCACTGAACTTAGGGGAGAGTTACTCAGGTGGTATAGCACTACAAGGCCTATGGAGGTAAGTACAAGGACCAATGGGTTCAAACTGAAATAGAGGAAATTTGGTTAATTATATGCAAGAATTTCTTTATGGTTGTTGTCCAGAGAAGCTGTGGTCCCATCCCTGGCAGTGCTCAAAGCCAGGGTGGACAGGGCTTGGAGCAACCTGGGATAGTGGGAGATGTCCGTGGCAGGGACACCTGCAATTAGATGGTCTTTAAGGTCTTTTCCAACCCAAACCTTCTAAAATCCTATGGTCCTAAATATATTTATGGACAACAGGCACTCAAAAGGGCTGCGGCAATCACCCTCCACAGAGAGCCTTGCTGGCACAGGTAACTCCACAGGCTCTGCTGTCAGCTGCCCCTGTGCTTTTGGCACAGAGAGAAAGGCAGCACATCCAGGGCCACTGAGACAGCAGGAGCTGAACACCACAGAACATGATTTCCCTGCTGCCCTAACATCCATTAAACCTGTGCCAGCAGTGAAAGTCAGATTAAGCTGCTTGATGCCTTGCTCCCACTGAAGTCTCTTGGCCCAGCACCAGGGAACCACCAGCCTCTTTTGTGGCTGACTCTGAGACACAGTGGCAAACCCTGGCTTAATTGATTGACTGGAGAAATTACTGTGATCCAACCGAAAACACCCCCACAAACATAGCAGGGAGGGAAAGAATTTTATTTCTGAAAGCAGAGCATCTAAAGCGACTGAAGTGCTGCCACCCATAAAACAAAAGTGTTGCCATCCTTCATATAATCACTTCAAATTGAATTTTGACACTGACATTCTGCTGTCAGATGCTGGCAGTGGTGCCTTTAATTGCCTGCAGCTGTCCTGCCTCACAGCTTCCACGGGAGGGTAGGAATTGTGGAGTGTGGCAAGGATTCAGCAATTTCTTTTTGCTTTGACCTGTAACACCTCTTGGTCATTCTCAGACTGTGTCCTCTTACAGTGTGTTCATGTAGAGACAGTGGACTTGAATTACTGGGATTTCATTCAGTTTTGTTCATCTGGGTTTTAGAGAACTGGCTCAACACTGACCACTTTCCAGTATTCCCTTCACCCAGTTGGGAATTTGGTTCTCCAAGTCATTTGAGCTTTTGCTTTTCCAAGTCATCTGAGCAATATTCGAGTGCCAGGAGGAGTCTGATGCCTTATGCTAGCCCATGAGGTAAGTCAGGTGTGTGCACAGAGACAACAGCAGCAGGTGAGGTTTGTTTATGTAACTCTTCTGGAACTTATTAGGTTTTGGGATTTTTTTTTTTTGCTCTCATTGCTCTATCAAAGTGCGTCATGGCTGTCCCAAAAACAATGCCTGGAGTGCAGCCTGTTTGTGACAGCAAGAAAAACAACTATCTGAATTCATACTTGGCACTTGCATACGGCAGCTTTAGGCCAGAAATAAGTGTATATTCAAGGCCCAATACATCTGTGACCTAATTCACAGGCTCTGCTGCAACCCACAGGATGCTGACACCTCACATTGAAATCACCACAGTCAGGACCATCTTATATCCTGATAGGCAAGAACTGAACAACTGCTTGTGACACCAATGACCCCATTTTTTAAAGCAAAACTCTTCTCAGTAAACTAGATCTTAGATCCTAGTAAACTTCTCAGAACAGCCTGTAAATAGAAAAATAGTGAATAAGAGAGAACTGCTCTCCTTCCAATTAAATAGTGAAAAAAAATTGAAAAACAAAGAAAATTAAAACTCAAAAATTGCCATATCAAATGGATTTTAGGTGCATAGGGTCAGATTTTTAAGGTCTGACAATGATTTCCAAGGCCTTTTTTGAAATTCATATGCAAATATCCATGTTGCAAATCCTACTTTCTAGGTACCCTAACACATTCAGGTCTATCTAAAGGATTTAAAATCTTATGTTCCTTGAGCAGGTTCTCAGGGAAATCCCCACCCAAAATAGGAGAATATGTAAAAGAATCAAATTTTCTCTCTTGCCTGTTAGATATTTAAGCATTATGTGAAAGATGAAAAATTGTGACTGGAAACCAGGAAATGACCTCTTCAGAATAGCCTAGAGCTCTGAATGTTCTGAGACTCCTCCTGAGGAAAAAACTGTCTGGGTTCACATTACTGACCAAACTCAGCTTGGATTAATTCCTTAAACTTGGATTTAATTCTAAACTTCCTATACTGTGGCTATTTCATGAAAATCTGGATGACTCTACATTGTCTCCACTGAGAACACAGGGGAGAGGATGCACTCACCATGGCAAGGGCCATGTGAACACCAGTCAGCACCAGACTGCATGAAGACATTTAAAAAGATGTGAAGATCTAAAACAATACTAATTCCCCATTTGTGAGAGTACCAGCCACAGTGAATTTCAGAAGTGGCTAAGCACCTAATTCCCTTGGCAATTTGTCCTCTGGGAAGCATCATTAAAGAACTAAATAGCTTTGCTGATTAACAGCTAATGGGTGGGATTCACCTTCCCCAAAGTGAGTAAAAATAAAATAATAGGTTTGAAATAAACACCCTGAGAGCTTCCTCTCTGTTCAGTGGAGTGTTCTATTCTACAGTTGGTTTTGGTGACCCCTAAATGAGCTGTAGGGAGAACTTCTCCTGAAGTGTCTAATCACACCCTTGCATTGTCTTGGTAATGTCAGGGTGGCGGATTCAATATTACAACATCAAGTAGAGCCAGGCCTGAGTATGTGGCTCTGTGCTGCTTTTGAAATTTCTACCTCCAACTGCTTCCCCACCCTGCAGACTTTGAGTAGGAACTTAGAGATCTCAGATGTGACCAGCTCTGAGAGATAAGCCCTGTCAGAAGCTTATCCATGCAAGAGCTGCAATGTCTTAACTCCTGGAAACCATTCTTCTGGACAGTGGAATCACCAAGCACAAAGGCACCAGCATCATATTGTCTTCACTGGGATATATTTGATATAACCTCGAATTCCAAGAAATTCTACCCAGGTATAGGTAAAATCCATGGTGGAACCATCTCTCTCTTATTTCATTCTGGGCTAATTATGCAGCCAAAGACAAGTTCTAGCAATGACAGTCCTGCCCTGTCATCCCACTAATAATAAACAATAATATTAGTAAAAAAACCCTCCTGAGCTTTTTGTGATTTTTCTTCTCCCTTCAAAACTAGGATTTTAAACTACGTTACTTAAGAATTATGAGTTAGAAGCCAGAAAAATAGCACTTTCCAACCTCAAAGCAACCACAGAACACTTAATGAATGTATTACCATCTGTCAAATACACAGGGTGAGGTTCAATTTAGCTGATGATACCTAATTCACACTGACGTTCTGTTTTCAGCAGAAGGTTACTTCATGTTGAACAATCAGATTAACAAATTCTGACATGCACAAAAATACAAATAATGTAACAAAAGTTAATAATGGGCAAAACTATGCCCTCAGTTACACTGACATAAAAGAGGAGTAACTTCATTGTCAACAAGCTATTCCATATTTACTCCAGTTCAACCAAGAAGAGACTTTGGCTCTGTTACTCAACTCTTCAAGCAAAAACTTCCTTAAACTATTAGCCTGTGCAACTATTTCCAGGGGATGGAGAGAAACCCTTGTGCCTTGAAGTACTTATACTACATCTGAACAAAATATTGGAAAATGTAATGCATGGAGCAATCCTGCAAGTCAAGCAGAGGGCCAGATGACAAAGATTCACTAATAGGTACTCAGGGTGAAAGTTTGGCCATCCTGAAGCTCATGGAAGTTTTGCTGTTGACTTCAGTGGGATTAGGACTTCTTCAGAATCTTTGAAAGCCAAA